TACTGTCTGTCCCACGAGGTGAAGAGAGCTGAAAAAAGATCCCTGTCCTAACGAATCCGTCCGAAGACGTTTTTCACGGGATTACACTATCATCCAAAGGCTGCAATATTTTTATATATTCCAATTAGTCAAGCATGGACCGTAATGTCCCTTACAAGCATTTTGCGAACGCTTCCAAAGGTACATAAGTAATTATTTATTTATTTACTTATTTATTTATTTATTTATTTATAGAAGGATACCCAATTTAATGCCGGAATAAGTTTACCGCTACGGTCTTGTCACGCACGGGCAGGCACAAAAATCCTTTGTTAAACCAAACATTTGTTGGGAGAACAGACCGTGATGGCGAGGCGAGAGAGTGGATGCGTGCTTTTCGTTATCATGTTCCGTTTCATTCAATCCCTTTGGGTTCATTACCAGATCCGGAGGTCGATCGGGATTTTGATGGTCAAGATCATCTCCACCCCCACCTCACCCCAACCATCCGGTCATATTTTTTTGATGCTAACAATGTAAAATGTACGTTTGAACAAAATATGTTTCTTAAAAGAAAACAACAGAACCGTGTATCGAGGCGCAAAGAACATTTGGCCGATAGATTATGAACTTGCAAAAAAAACGTGTGCACCAAACTTTCCGAAAACAAACAAGCGTTGTCTTTTCATGTGTGCAGTGAATCAATTGTCGGTCGCTACGTTGCGTCAGCGACTTAATCATGTCAAGCATGGGTAGATGAATTTTTTTTGCCAGCCCCGAGCAGCACGTTCACAATCAACCATTCCTAAATCTGGAAAAAATGTTGTTAGTAGTAGTCAAGTCAAGGAATGGCTTTTTACACTTCGAGAGGTGGATATTTAGCAACCACATAACCACAGTGTGTCAACAAAAACTGGAAAAAAAAGAACAACAGTATAATACAGCAATTAAAGGACGTGAAAAGGACAACAACATCGAAAACCAATGGCATACCCGGGTGTTTATGGTGGATTTAGTTTAGCATTTTGAGCAGATTTTCTGCAACGAGTTCATGGTTTGTTAGAAATCTGGTGAGATAAGGGCAGTCGACCGCCTGTAAGCTTCAGTGGGTCTTTATACGTTTATGAGTGGAACGGGTGGATGAGTGAGAAAGGCACTGACTAAGGCCGGAATTAAGAGGACGGGAAATATCAGATACAATCTTGTTGGAGAATGTTTCACAGGACTTGATGTGGTGTCACCACATACTGTACTAGATGTTCCCGTGGTATGAGACTACAAACTGACAGAAATTTGAGGGAACGGGAAATGAGTTTGAGGTCCTTGTTAAAAAGACCAGGGAAGATAACAGCGGATCCATAAAGCCAGTGAGGCAAACCGCAAACAAAAACAAGAAGCCTCATGAGACGGTTTGTAACAGAAAGTGATTCAAGACGTTAAACATAAAACGTGAGCCTCCTGCTCTTCAGAAAAACGTCATTAACGTGGTCAGACCAGTTGCGGTTACGAGTGAAAATAACGCCCGGGTATTTGACTGACGGTTGTCGTTCCCTCTGGTCACTGAGGATAGATAAAGGCGGGCTGGCGTTTGATAATTCATCATACTTTTACCCTTTCAAAAAAGAAAAAAATAACTCATTACATTTTTGGGGGTTCGTGCGAAGGTTCCTTTGTTGAGACCACTCAACTATTTCACCTCTTCTTGTAGAGTCGTTTGAAATGATGATGGGGTAGGGCAGTCCGAATATTATATCGTCTGCATACTTGACGAGAAGAGAAGAATTGCTCACAGGCATAGAGGAATTGTAAGCAGAAAATAGAAAAGGAGATAAAATAGCACCTTGTAGTACGCCTTTTGAGGAGGGTAGCAGTGAAGATGTACCTTTGTAGCGTGTGAACTGCTGACGGTTGGAGAAATAGTTGGCCAAGAGTTCAATCGTAAAACGTCGAACTCCGCCCGAAGAAAGGGTATTTAACAAAGTTTGTCGATCAATAGTGTTGAAAGCATCACTGTGGTCAGGAAAACATAAGCGTACACCCTTGCTTTTTTATCCAGGTTGGATAAAACATAGTGGGACAGATAAGCAAGGGCATCCAGGGTACCACGGGAATGGATGTATGCAAACTGGTTCGGGTCAACAACATTGAATTGTGTGGACAGGGTCTTAAGGAGGAGCCTCTCAAACCCCATCAAGACAATTGAGTTGCAGGCAATGAGAAGGAATGTTGAGGATCCTTTCTTCGGTACAGAGGTGATAGAGGCTATTCGCCAGCAGTCGCTGCAGTTGCTACAAAATACAATCATTGAAAAGTTCACCCAGTATAGGGGAAAGGAAGGCAGCACATTCCTTCAGGACAGCGGGTGGGACTCCGTCTGAGACGCAGGACTTGTGAGGATTTAATTGAGCCAACTCTTGATAAATATCGACAGGTGCAACGCTGGAGACGGGATCAGTGGTGTTTATTTCATATCTATTAGGTAGAGCAGTGAGAGCGGTTCCACCGTTGATGAAACTCTGATTCAGACCATCTATGGCCACAGCAGCAGGTGAGCGGTGTGAGGAGTTGCTGCCAGAAATCCGCATGAGGGCTTGCCAGGTCTCACGACTACCTTTGTTCTCTNACTGGTTCGGGTCAACAACATTGAATTGTGTGGACAGGGTCTTAAGGAGGAGCCTTTCAAACACCTTNGTGGTGTTTATTTCATATCTATTAGGTAGAGCAGTGAGAGCGGTTCCACCGTTGATGAAACTCTGATTCAGACCATCTATGGCCACAGCAGCAGGTGAGCGGTGTGAGGAGTTGCTGCCAGAAATCCGCATGAGGGCTTGCCAGGTCTCACGACTACCTTTGTTCTCTAGCTGAGCACGGGCGTATAAAGAGTTTAGCCTTCGAAGTTCAGCCCGGATGGATTTAGAAAGGGAGCGCACCTCTTCGTGCTCATGTATTTTGAAGACACGCTCCTTTCTACGAAGTGGTTGTTTAAGGTGTGGGGACGAGAATCGATCGGGGCGAATATCAATTGTCTCCAAGGCACAACAGACATCGTAACAAAAGTTTAAGTAGCTTGTTAATTGATCACAGAAAACGGAAGAGTTGGGCTAAAAAAACAAAGTAAGGTCGGAGTGTCTGATCATTTCCCTTAACATCGTGAGGTTTTCTGGAGAACGCAGTCTTACTTGAAGCTTGTGCTCACGACTTCCAGTAAAGAGACGATGGTTCGTTCTGCTAAAGATGGTAGGAGAAAACTTCAACATAGAATGATCAGACATTCCCATTAGGGGACGGCTTTCTACAAGAAGGTTGATAAAACCCAAATCCAGGTGTGCGTCAAGCCTAGTGGGAAAGGTAACAATGTTTTGAAGACCTAAGGTGGTTAAGAAAGCTTGACACGTCACCCTTCTCATTCCCTTATTCTGTAAAGCTCATTGACCTACTTAATTAACTAATATTTTACTCCGTTAACATTCCACTTCCGTTCGAATTCATTTATGGTTGTATCTGTTTCGTATTACGTAACCATGCTCAACTCTCTCAATTCCACGGCTAATCGTTTTCCATTACGTAACTATTTTTATGCTGAAATTTCCCTCCTCCCCTTTCACTCATACCCAAATGATTTTGGTAATGATTCAACAACCCAGTGATTTCTGCCTAAACCAATGTAATTATGTAAATGTCCATATTACGATTTTCTTTTTATAACATTCTGAATTATTTAATGTGCGTAGACAGCTGATTGGGAGCACGCAAAATTGATGGCTAATATTAATTGTGCTCATATTGTGTTACTTATTTCAATCAAACCGTGATATTTATTGTGATTTATTGGACTGACTACGAATCACTGAAATCACGAGCTTGTTCACCAGTCGTTCTATTTTAAATGCCACGCATTTATTGTGCATGAGACAATCGGTACTGAAGGCGATTTAGGAGATATGCCATTTTTAAAGTAGCGATGCTCAAATGTTGAGTAAACTGACTTCCTTTCTCGAGCATTTGGTTAGAGAGTAAAATCTAAAATTGACGACCGAATCCATGAATGCAATAATTCTGGCAGACCTGGTCACTTCACCCTCACGATTCACATTACAATCTCAGCTCAATTCGAACGTATTACAACAATGTTAGTACACTTTCATAGAATGAGAATCCGAAGCACTATCTGAGAAGTGTTCAAACTCATAGAGGTCAAGTCAATCACGACTTCGGAAGTTCCATGATCTTGAGGAATGGCAACACAAATAAATGAACAGATGTTGATTTCAAATGAACGAATTTCTATTGTTGCTGAGTTTGAACCCAAGCAACACTGTTGTTGTTGTTGTTATTGGTAATACAGCATGCGCAATGACGTGTGAGCTAGGTAAATCCATAAATTGAACGGTGCAGTATCATGCACGGGACACGGTTAGGCAAATGATCAGACAACTGATGTGCACGGTGGACAGACGGTAATAGCCTGTTTTTGGGTTACCTGCAGCTGAATGCGATAGAAATGTTTGTGATAACTGACAAGGAGCACTGGACAGCAGTTTCGTCCTGTTTGGAACTCGTCAGCAGTGCATACCTTTTGCGTCCCTGTCATAACTCGAACACTCGACCCATACGACCAAAGGTCATCCGAGAATACTAAACAGGACGAAACAGATACTCAGTGCTCTTTGTCGGTTATCACAAACGTTTCCACCGAATTTAAATGCACTCAAATAGTGAGGAAATACCGATCTCTCAAGGAGTGAAACCCACACCCAAGACCATCAACAGTGCCTGGTGCATGTGAAAAATCGAATGAGCTAATTCAAAACTCACCGTCTAAACTTAACTGCATCTGCTTTCCGGATAAGCTGATCATAGTTTTCATACCGAACTGGATTAGAATGCTAATGTTGGCACGCGTTGAGGAAAATTGTTTCCGAACACAAATAACAGCACCAAAACTGGTGTTAGTCCTTCGTGGTAGCTAAAAGAAGCTTATTCGGTCAATCGTTATGAGCATGCCGACAGAGTTTTACACGAGAGTTCGCTCTATTCATGCTCTGTAGAACAAAAACTCTGATTCTATGAATGAGATTCTGTCCCAGAATGAAAGTCTCCAACACGCTAAGTACTGCCCACTTGCGGATATTTTCTACGATCGCAAATCAACGGACCCAATCAGACGGGTGCCGTGTGACATGACCGGGGACTTCAGAACACAGAACGAAAGGTAAAACCATTGATCCCCGCGTTAATACTTGAGTGATCGTTTTATACCCTCCTCTAAACACTTCTCTTTTCAAGTTTACCATGATAGTCGGGACAAATTAGCTGTGAAAAACGGCTCCATGTATGGTAAATTTGGTCATGCATGAATTAAACGTGAACTAAAAAGCTGGAAAGCACTACTGGACCGCCGTTTCAACTGTGTAGGTCTCATCAGCAGTGCGTGAATCCATCTACCCAAACAGCGATCGAACCCGACACCTCACTGGAGGAGCACACGTCAGAATCAGTGAGGTGCAAGGCTAAGGATGTCCACAACAAGCTTGTAAAGATGAGTTTTGCATTATCGTGTATTATTCAAAATGCAAAACGGTCTGAGCAGCGGCTCCTTGGATTTACGCCCCACTGCCTTGTGGGTCAGACTTTTGATTCAAAGGCTCCGGTTAGGATTTCCAAAGAAAAACCCCTTCGTCGGTGTGGGCTACCGCGAAATATGCCGTGCCCTAAACTCTTAGACACCCATTTGGAAAACGAACCTTCCGTTCTGACTAGTTTTTCTTCTCAACCTCGATTAATCCCAGATGCCTCCTGTTTACGCCACTCATCGAATAGCACTCAGTGTTTTACCATCAAGGCCAGAGATTCAGAAGCTATAG